AGATAGTTGTATGTCATAGTTGCACATCCTTCTAGTTGCTGTATGTGGGACGTGGCCTCAGCATGGCCGGAGAAGCGGTGCGTCGGTGCGCGCCCGGGATTCGAACCCTGGGCTGCCAGTAGCGGAGCGCGCACTTAACCGCTAAGCCACGGGGCCGGCCCCCCTTCATGCCCTTGTTGATGAAGTTCTTTCTACTTGAAATTTCCTTTAACTTCCTACCTTCACCAACCAAAACACTGTATATCCTTCAAATTCTAGCTCAAATGCTGCTGCTTCTATGGTTTTCTAAATACCCCAGCTTGAAATAATGTCCTCCCTACTTGATACTTCTAAGTACTTAGCTTATACCCTTAGGATGTACTCTGTATTTATTACAGAGTGTTTTTGTTCTGAATGAATCACCAAAGTTCTTTTGGTGAATTTATAGGTGATTTGATTTAGGAATATTTTCATTGGAAATTTGACATTTAATGTGATTGAACATCTTGTCATTGTTTATTAACTGGAATGTTTTTGAGGGAGATATGTTAGGAATGCTATTCTTATATCACGGTTGAGGATAATTTATAGAGTTTGGAGATAGTAAGACCAGATAGGACGCTCCTATAACATTTTAGTGTTCTAAACTAAGTAAACAGGGGCAGGGAGGAGAAGGGCCTTATACCAGGTGCTTTATATACGTAATTTTATTTACTTAAATTATTCCATTTACAAGAGTGATCTCTAACTGGTTTCATTTTGTTGTTTTGCTTTATTGGTTGACATTTAGTAACGAGAAATGACTGTTGAGGCGACAGGTATGTGAATATTGTTTGGAGCTATGAAGTTGACTTGTTCTTTCCCATACTAATTCCTTTTCTCGTGTGAGTTTTTAGAAAAAAAGCAAATGAAAATCAGCAGTCTCTCTCATCATTTGTATTTTAGTCTCATGCTCCAACCCAGTTGTCACTCATCTTCATTGGACAATCTTCCCTAATCTTTAAAATGAGAACACTGGACTAGCCATCTCCAAGGTCCCCTTCAGCTCTAATAATCTGTCATAATTGTGTAGCTAACTTAAACTTTTGCTCCTAATTCACTGTTTCCTGTTGTAAAGGGAATAGGTAGTCTATAGATCTTATTGGGCAACTCCTTCAGCTCCACAGAACTAGAGTTTTCAGATACAATACAATATGCCTAGTTAAATTTGAATTTCAGATAACAGATAGTTTTTTAGTCATCATGCAATATTTGAGACATATTTAGATTAAAAACGTTGTTTATCAAATTCAAGTTTAACTGGGTGTCCTATATTTTTACTTGCTAAATCTGGCAACCTACAAAGAACTCTCTGAATATTTAGATGTATAGATAGAGGAGCTCATATTAAGGAAGGGTGTGAAGAAAGTTGTCAAGTACTAAGGAAGCTCTTTAGACTGAAGGGAAGCGGAATGAGGGAAGTGATGACTTTAGTGGGTTGAAATTAGAGGATTAAACTGTTTGAATCTCTTAAGGTCACTTCTAAGTCCTAATGCTGTCATAAAAAGTTTTAAGTACTTAATTAAAAAAAAAAAAAATCTGTGCTAGTGAAGTAATACAACGTTGTGTAACCCTGAGTCATCACCTTTTGAAATCCTGTGAATTGTGTTGTAACAAGACTTAAAAGATCAAAGATCTTGGAACAGTCCAAGGGAAATTCAAATGATTAAGTCCCAACCAACTTACGTTAATAGATAAATTAGCTTTGTTTTAACGTTGTGTTAGTTCAGTTGTTTCTTATGGTTGCAAATAGCAGAGACCAGCTTTGGCTTATTTAAGCATAAAAGGAAATGTTGAAAGATATTAATGTATCTCATAGAATCCTAGGAGAAGCTGAACACTCAAGCTATGGAAAGGGAAAGGATTTTAGTAGCAAGAGTTTAGATATTTATGAAATTTCCAATTATTAAGGATTCCAGTCACTCTTTCTAAGCTCAGTGTTACAGACTTATGAGAGAGAGAATTGGATTTTGGCCAGAAGGGTATGGCCTTATAGTAAAGCCCTGGCCTGGACATTGGGTGCCTGTCTTCACATTTGAGCATAGTTTCCAGAGAAAAGCAAATATGTTGAGAAGAGAAAAGAGAGTGTCTTTACTATCACTATTTGTAGAACTTTTATTAATGTACATGATTTTATAGAGGGAATGTTAGGTCTAATGTGAAAATTGAGGGGATAAAAAATTACTTTCTACTTCTTAAAAATACGTGTTTGTTGCAACATATTTTATTTGCTTCTTATATAGCATTTCAAATATTTTTCACATCAATACTTACGCTATTGCCCAACCATTAAATAGGAAACTGTAATGAGTAAGACTCAGGTGGCGTGTATGCATGTGAGGGCTTCTCTTCGTGGTTTATCACTCATTCGAGTAACCTCTTCTAAACAAGTTTTTGGATAGTGCTAATTTATTTGATTTATTGGCAGGCTGTTAGAGAGATAAGTCTAAGTAATTTCTACCCAGAAGTTTTTTGGTTTTTTTTTTTTTGAGGAAGATCAGCCCTGAGCTAACATCCATGCTAATCCTCCTCTTTTTGCTGAGGAAGACCGGCTCTGAGCTAACAT